AATGTCAGCAAGTCAAATGGACTTTGTCTTGTTTTCTTTTGAAAGTTGTTTTTTCAAGGTGTGCTTTGTGCAAACTGGTCTGATACAGCCTCGTGTGCCGTGTCTCAGTGTTGTGTCATGTGCAAAGAGGGCAATGAGATGAATGCTAATTATTTTCTGCCAAAGCATTTAGTTGGTCTGATTGAATAGCACTTACAGATTGTCAAAAATTGTTTTGTTGAGCTGTCAGTGCGGATTTGTAGTTGTCAGTTTTAAATGGGTCTAGTCCAAGACATTTGTCTGTTAGCTGCTCTGTGGTGGTGATCTTAATTCAATGAGGTACTCGTGTCCATGCCTCACTTCAAGGGTGTGATCACTGTCATTGAGTTTGGTTGGCTCTAGGTGTGTCTAAAGTCTCATTGCTTCATCCTTTTCTCTTTCTTGTGTAGAAGAAAAGCTGGTTAATCATCTCTATGTAGGAATCTTCTCCCATTTGTTCAAGCTCCTGCTGTATTGTTTAGATCAGATTGTAATGTTGCTGCATAACCTGTTTCCCCGAGCCTCCAATTCACTTGCTGTATAACCTATTCCTGTATCTCTCTACTATTTTTTTCCCACTGTGGCCACACTTCATCTTGTGAAATACTGACCCCAGAGCCTTCACTGCTGGGTTCCTGCATGGTCTGTCTCACCATACATGGATTTAGATTAAAAGCTCCTTTTCCTTAGGACTGGAAATAAAATTCTTGTATCACAATCAGGTTTTTTGGAAGAAAGACCTTGCCTGTTTTTATCTGTACTGCCTCCTCAGTGTGGAAAGTGCTCCCACTAGGTTCTTTTGGCCATGATGCTGCCAAGATGGTATCTCATCCTGTGTCACTCCTCATCTTTGCCACAGTCTGTGCAGTCATCACTTTCTGGGATGTGGTCAGTTTTGTTAAGTGGAGGTTTTCAGGCAAAACTTTGTGCATTCAGGCCCAGGTTCCAGGACATGGGGTTTGCCCTCTAAAATGATTCCGTTAAAAAAAAATAAATCAGCATTGTGTATTGGGTTAGTTGAGTCTCTGAGTTATTCCTTACTTAATCTCAGAAGCAAATGTGTGGGTTTTTCCCCCCAAAATGCAAATCCTCCCATGCTGTCTTTTATATTTCATCAATTACAAAAATGTTGCATATTGAGTCCTTCCTTTGGTTACACCAGGCCACCTCCTTATCTTGTAGGTTTTCCCTGAAGCATCCTACACTGAGGCAAAAATTGTGGCTCTGCAGGTATAGCTTAGATAACAGACATGATGATCCTTGGAAAAGGCTCCTCTTTCTTCTTCAACTGCACTGACACTTGGGTTATAAGGGGAGCAGTAATTCAGCAGACTGTCAACACAGAGAGATACAGTCCAGTCAGTAACAAGGTGCTGTTTTTATATGTTACCTTCTTGATAGATTATAGATGATTTCAAAATAAATTTGATTTACCTAAAAGTTAGTCTTGGAGGTCACTCAGCTTGCATGTACTGTTTGATTAATGGATATGAAATAACTGCTTTATGGAAACCTAGGAATCTCAGGTGTGAATATGTACTCCCTTGCCATGCAGAAACAGGGTATTTCTACCTCAATGAATGAGAATCCTGATACTCCAAAGCACAAAATGAATCTTAACCTCTGCTAGTAAAAATAAACTTTTGCAAAGGTACACTCTTAGCCACTGTTAAAATTTTATCCATCCTCTAAAGCATCTGGAGCAGGTGCCTTCAGGGCTCACAGTTTAAGTGAGATGGTCTGACTGCCAAAGAAAATCAGACCATCTGATTCAGTGCTGTCCCCAAGAGCAGCTGCTATGAACTGCCACAGCCAAACTCTGCCAATATGTGCTCCTGGAGTAAGCCAGAGCCCACAGAAGTGAATAGGATTGTATCTTTTCCCTTCAGAAGGTTGTAGAGAGACCATGATTTCATGCTCCTTTTCAGTCTGCTAAGAAAAGGAGAAGAGAAACATTCTCTACTTGAGGCTTCTAACAGGTACTTTTAGAGTTACACTGTATCCCATGGTTGGTCTTGCTATAAAAAATGCTCACTTCCAGAGTGTTGAGATTCAGAGTTGGAAAATCAAAGAAGCTTTAATTAGCACAACAATACTTCAATCCACTCGGCTTCTCTAAGAGCTTCCTAAAATACCTCACATTTTATTCCAACGAGAAGACAATTATGACTCTTGAATAGAAACCTTTTACAGCTAGAAGATGAAAATGTAATTGTAGATGGTATATTTGGTGACCTCCTCTTGCTAGGTAGGAACAGTAGCACATCTGGCTTTTGAGCATGGGAGCACTGACTGTGAGAGAGAGAGCTGCATAAAAAAGGCTGGTTGATCCTTAGAAGGAGGACAGATCAAGGACAAACGTGTTTTATGGGTCACCATTCCCATGCTGCAGGCTCACCCGTGGTTAGTTTCCCTGCTGTGGGATATCCAGGTGCAGTGGGAAGTGGCTTTAGAGTCCCACAGTCCCCCATCCATACAGCCCACAGTCACTGCAGAAGATTTAAACATCTTTGGTGTGTACAAATGATAAGAGGGCTTGACAATTCCAAGGTACTTGCATCTGTGGGGAGTTTCCTTTGGCACTTCAGTCCCTAATGCAAGAAATATCTCATGTTTCTCATCTTGGTAGGTACAGTCACGTTCAACGGGGAAAGAAGTGGCTGAGCCCACAGTTACACTCCAGGGTGGTGCACACATCCACATCCATGGAGTCACATCCTACTTTTACAGTAAAGCTGTTTCTGTTTGGCAAGGAATACATCAAGCCCATAGCTCAATATAAGGCTGAACTTTGTTATGAATAATTCAGTGATGAGCAAGAAAGAAAAAGAAAAAAACAGCCATCCCAAACCCTAGCTTTCCAGACAAACCATGGAAAGATTGTCCAAGTACTTTTCCATGAATACTGAGAACACAATATAGATTTGAAATATTTTTTCGGGTTGGGGAAAAAAAAGCTTTTAATTTATTGAATGTTTAGCTCATTGCTGCCTAGCCATTCTGAACACATATCTACATGCAAAGTTCTGCACTAAATTCTGAATGAAGGATCTTCTAGATTCTTATGGCATTTTGTTCTTTACACATTTTGCATTGATGGTGAGAACTGACACTACCAACAGGGTCCTGCCTTCAAGCGGAATCACTCACTCATGGTAGGTGTTTAGATGTGTTTTCCTTTCTTCTTTGGGCCTTCCATTCTTTTTTCAGTGTGCACTATTCCTCTTCAGCTGAAAAAAAAAAAGCCAATCTCAATTTACAGGGGAGGTACCTTTCCTTTGGTTCCTTTTCTAGCTATCTGAACATTGTGATGAGCTTGGATTGCTGAACTTTGACTGTTGCCATGGCTTTTGATGCAAATAAATCACTTGCAAATGTTCCTGAAATACTCATGGATACACTTATTTCCCTCAAGCCTGATACAGACAGCTTCAATTAGTGTCACTAAGTTTGTTTTTTTTTTAGTTGCAAACTTTTTCTGTAGGAATCAGAAAAGATAAAAGCGTAAATGAATGTTTCCAAAAATGTACTTTGGGTGGTTTCCTCCCAAAGAGAGGGAATTTTTTTTTTTTTTTTCCTAAATTGAGGTATCTTGGCATTAATTATTTGGGAAAGATTAAAAAAAAACCCCACCATTAAAAAAGATCTCTGTTACTTGGGATACATACCTTTGTTATGATTATTTAGATGATAAAAATGGCTGGCGTTCCAGGGGAAGAGCATTCACTGCTAATGGGGCTTTAAAGTAAACTTTTGTGATACTTAATATTTAAACCCTGAGGAGAGTGAGACATGAGTATTGCAGGAGCTGCTGCTGGGTGTGAACAGTGACCACGTGGTGTTAAAGGGCAGTGTCTCTGCAGCGTGGTGACTCTGCAGTTCTGCAGGAATAGCCACGAGTGGTCATTGGAGTGTAGGGATGCAGCTGGAACTGAGTGTTGCCCATGGAGATGAGACCTCAAAGCCACCCTGGGTCATTGCTTCAGTGAGGAACGGCTCAACAAAAGAATGGATTAACTTTAAGGCTCCAAATAGCAAATGAGAAATCTTTATGCCTATGAGGAAAACACTGATCTGATATACACTTGTTTGTCCTGAACAAATTTGTGCAATAAACCATGATGGACTAGCCTCTTCCCATGGAATTCTGACCACACTGGCTTCTGGCCTTTGGGCTCTTTAACGTATGGCACCTTTTTCCTTTATGCTTTTGTGTATCCTCCTGTGTTTGAGACAAAGAAGTGTCATGAACCAGAGCACTGCCATGTTTTATGTGTTGTGGCTACTCTGTCAGAAACACTGTTGTGTGAAATTTTTTGCTGAATGCTCCAGCAAGTCTCTGTGTTTGGTGTGGAGACTGTGAAGCCACTGATTCAGTCCTCCTGGGATACTGCTGAATTGCTCTCCAGCATGGCAGTAAGGGGCATCTTGTCAATACTTGGGATAAGGAATGCAGAAAGATCTTGGTGTCATTATAAACTATGAGGGCTTCCTGGTGTCTGGGCAGAACTGGAGTTCTGCTCTGGTCTGCTTTGGCTCTGTGTCTGTTTGCCCTTTGAATATTGCATGTGCTGTTCTCATCCTTTGGTAGCATTCCAGCGCACTGTTGAAGAGCAGCGTGTTTTGTCTCGGGAGTAGCTGCCTCTCAAAAATGGGAAGGGAGCTTTGTGTGTCAGTTCCTTAAATAAGTAAAGGGTTTGGGGACTGTTCAGGATGTGCTGTGTTAATATAGGGTATCAATCTACGTATCAGAGGATGCTAAACAGCAGCTGGAAACTATGGTAGTCAATACCTTTAATTATTAATTAAAGGTAGCAAATGGAAGCTGGGTATCACTGCATAGTGTGGAGCCACTATTGCTAATGCATATTCAAAGCATGCATTCTGCCTGACAGGACTGTGATTTACTTTTCCTGGTCTTCAAATGTGTGTGATCTCATCCATTTATGACACTTTAAAAAGGCTGCTAAAATCCACCAACACGGAGAGCAACTCAGTCCTGCTTCAGAACAGATTAATATGTCCACACAATCCCACATCTTGGCTGGAATATTAGTGATGGGGAGACAGGTAGCAGAGTGGAGGAGTATTGGTCTTTTGATTTCTGTGTTTCTCTTTGGAAATGCTCATCAAGTTCTTACTCCTATGACTTGGGTTCTGAAAGGAATGTGAAGAACATGGGAATTGAGACCTCACTCCCAGCATCTTATGGAGCTCATTGCTCCTGTATAAAGTGAAAAATGCCCTGGTGCAAGGCAACATAACTCATTTCTTCTGAATAACTAGCTGAGGGTCTTTCTTTCCTATTCACATCTGGCAAAGTTTTACATAAATAAGGGGTTTTATTTGGCCAATAGGGAAGAATCCTGCCCATCAAGTTCCACTGTAATACAATAAGTAGAGAAAAAGTCCCCTTCTTTTAAAGGAGAAGTGTGTTAAAGTAACACCAAATGTATTTTTCTCTATTGGTGTTTTGTGACTCTGGACAGTGTTCTGTGATCACAGAGAATGTATGCTTAAGATAATAGAATTAAAAATTGAAGGCAATGAAATATATACATGAACATCCTTTATTTTGCCCATAGGTCTCAAAATCATGGTGCTGTTTTAGTGACGACTTAAATTCTTCTCTTTCACTCTGCATAGATTTGAATTTAACTTGGAACAGTTTATGAAAAACATGAGTGATAGCTGGAGAATTAATTTGATATTATCTAAGACACATAGAAAATGTCAGCTTTCATGAGGACAGCTACAGAGAAAGATAACTTGTTAATTCCTACTCTTCTCCAGAATTTTTTAACACTCCCCTGATAAAGCTAGTGTAGCAGTATCAAAAAATATGATTTACTGTAGTGGAAGTCAATGTGCTCCAGGCCTTATTTGCTTTTACAAGAGAACCTAAAACATCCTATAGATTAATATTATCTGGAAGTGTAATAGAAGAAAGTAACTGTTTCTCTCACAGCAGATGTCTACTGTGATACTTTAAATCTGCTTGTGTATCTTACTTTGCGCAGGACATTGTTAAAAACGTATACCAGCATTTTTTTTCTACAAACATAACCTGCATGCACTTTGGAGATGAATCTTCTCAAATGCAGTCTAGATTGTACTAAAATTTACACCCAGCTTCAGGACTTTTTACAGTCCATGGTGAAACACTGCTGAGCAGTGATGATGATAAAGGAATTAAACCAGCTGTATCTTTTCACAGCGTCATGGCTGGTAGGGTGTGACTTGATTCCTCTACATCTTGCAGAAAGTTCTTAGATACATCTCAAGGAATTTTTTTTGATTTGTTTCAGTGTGGGGGAGGATCACAGAACCATAGAATCATAGAATGGCCTGCGTTTGAAGGCCACTTTCAAAGATCATCTCATTCCAATCCCCTGCCATGGGCAGGGATGCCTTCCACTATCCCAGGTTGCTCAGAGCCCCATCCAACCTGGCCTGGAACACTTCCAGGGATGGGGCAGCCACAGCTTCTCTGGGCAACCTGTACCAGGGCCTCACCATCCACACAGGGAAGAATTTTTTCCTAAGAAACAACCTAAACCTGCTCTCTGTCGGCTTGAAGCCATTATCCCTTGTTCTGACACTTCAGGCCCTTATAGGAGGTGTCAAGGAAGGGAATGAAGCCACCAGCTCTGTAGCAGGGAGGCAGGCTAAGAACCACTTAGATGCTCAAGTGGTTTAAATGGGTTGAGTTCCAGGGAAACCAGTGGCCCTGTGTGATTACCAGTTTGAAGTGAATGAGCACGAATCAGCCATGAAATCATAGTACAAAGCAGCTTATGGCAGCAGGGAGCAACTGAGGGCATTTGTCTGTGAATGCCTGTGCCTTTCCAAGCTGATCTTTCCAAGTGCCCTAAATTCCTGTTGAGTTCAGCACCTCTTAATATGTTACTGGGCAGGAATTACATTAACAATGACATGCAGAAAAGCAGTGGATGTTCTTGTTTGAGTGGTGTTTTGTAGTTAGTCCAGATGAAATTTGTGTGCTTTGCTACCCGTTTTAGACAGGAACTGTTGGTGTGAAGCACCAGGTAAAATGGAGCCCTGGATCCCAGAGTGTGACTACACTAAAAACATGGGTTAAAACAAGGATTTTTGGTTTTTTAATATAATCTTGGTGATTAGTGTTTCAAATAAAGCCCTCTCTGATTATTACTATTCAGTAACATCTGGAGTGAGGCAGGTGTTTTATGGATAAATGGGAGAAAAGCTCTCTGACTCATTTGATTTACAACCTGTGTAAGCAGCATCTCTGTGGGAGCTGAGATTGTGACTGATGGGGAAACTGAGATAAAAAAGGTCAGGCTATTTCTCATTTATTTGAACTTTTCCAGGTAATACTTTTTATTGGGTGAATAGAAGAGTGGTTTATTCTTTGCTACACTCTTTCTTTCAGTGTTTCTGTAGAGTAACAGGAAGTAAAGCTCAGTAGAAGCAGTAAGAGTCTAGTTGTTTTATGGGTCTGCTAGGAGATGGATTTGGTAAATGTCTCTCTATTCATAAATATTGTGCAGAGACACTTTAATCTATTGATAATGTGACCAAGTTACAGCCTACCAAGTAATTGTTCAAGCCTTCTCAGTCTGTAGCATGAATAGCTACATAAAAAAGCTGTGTCTGTAAATACACTGTACAACACACATGACAATTTGCTCTGAGAAAACTTGGGTACTCACAATTTATGACCTGACTCTTCAGAGTCCTTGCCCATAGAGATACAGAAAATTCCTGATGTGTTGGTCTGTAGGGGACATGGGAGTTTTCTTGTCGTCCGTGTGGTCGCCTGAACTTCAGCCCATGGAGCAGAATCACAACGAGGGGTAAGTGATCAGGCTGCCCTCACCGCTGAGGCAGAGTTTGGCCACTGGTTGGCCCTTTAATCACATGCAGCTGACAGGGAGTGTGGGCCTGCATCTTGTCATGGGACTGCATCACATGGCAGGCAGCAGGGCTGTGGAATCTGTGTCTCCTTCCCATGGCAAAACAAGTGAGCCAGGAAAACTGAATGCTGTGCCCCATCCTCATTCTGTAGTGGAGAGGAGAGGTGGATGGAAACTACTCTTAGCACTCTCCTTCTTTGCAGTTCTCCTAGGACTAAGGTCCTTGTCTTACAGCTCTGGGCCATGTGGATATTTTGCTGTGTGGCTCATGGGGTCAACAGTTTTGTCCTCTCAGGAAGGTGAAGAAATGCTACACTATGAAGAGCAATTGTGTAGGACATCTTAGTCCTTGCCCTCCCTTCCTGTTGCCTCCTCACTGTTTCCCTCCTCATTCTTTGTGTCTCCAGTTTCAGAATTGATGTTTTCTACAAATATTTCCATAGCCTGTGGTAGTTACCCTTTCTCAGAGGGCAAAATACGCTTTTTCCAGCTGCAAGCTGATCCCGTTCACATACGTCCTCTGTGATTTAAGTGACTTGCAGCTGGTTTGGGTCATGGCCATGTCTAAGTTAGAGGAGAGGGATCATTGCTCTGGAGTGGTGCAGCTCAGTAGCATGGCAGGAAGCAGGGAAGGGAAGTTTAATGTAGGGAAGACAAAGCTGGTTTACTTGTTTCTGCTTCCTCACTTTGGCTATCCAAGGACATGGTCATCTGTATTTGAAGTCTTAGGATAGAGGGAGAATTAATATACTGACTTGCAAAGGGATATTTTCCACTCTTCAACAACAAGCAAGTGTAGTTCTCAGGGATGAGGAATAGTGTTGTTTTCATGTGTGTTGGGTCAGACATTGAAAGCCATTATTTTTTGCTCAGCAGTAGTACAGAACCACAGAAATGCTGAGTTTGGAAGAAATCTCTGGTGATCATCTAGTCCAACCTCCATGCTACTAGCAGGGGCTCCTAGAGCCAGTTGCAAAGGACTGTGTCCAGTTGTGTTTTGGATACCTCCGAAGATGGAGACTTCGCAACCTTTCTGAGAAATGTGTTCCTCAGATCCATCACCTCCACACTAAAAAACAGTGTTTTGCTTTTGTTCAGGTGGAATTTCTTGTGGTTCAGTTTGTGTTCCTTGTCTCTTGTCCTGTCACTGGGTAACATTGAGAAGTGTCTGACTGTCTTCTTTACATCCTCCCCCATTGGGGTTTTATACACCTTGGTAAGGTCCTCCTGAGTCTTTCCCTCACCAGGCTGAACAGTCCCAGCTCTCTCAGCCTCTCCTGGAGCATATGACAGATGCTCCTAGTCCTTTGATCATCTCTGTGGGATGTGTGATCACAAGTGGGGCAGTGTGATCACAAGTAACTGGGAATTCAGGCAGAGGCATTTTTGGAAGCCCATCTCAGCACATCTATGCAGATTAGGAGCATGGGATCAGTCCCAGGCTGGTATGACTGCGAGTCCAGGTGTCTGTCCTCAGTGCACAAGAAGCCCAGAGAATATACATGTAGGGCCATCTAAGTCACCTTATATATATTCCCACATGCAGTCTCATCCTGACTTCTGGTACATAGAGATTGCTTTAAAACCTAAAAGGTGAGGTTCAGTGTCTCTTTCAAAAGTTAAACAGGTAATTATAGCTATGAGAAATATCCTTGATATATAGATATACATAAACATAAACATAAAAACATATATATATATATAAACATACACACATTTTTTTTATATCTTTCTTTTGATATAGGATCAAGGCCTTGGTCAAGGCAAGAAACAAATGCAAAATCTGGAGGCAAAATTTTTTGTGTTTCTAATCCCTTAAGGAATTATTAACATGGCAAGACCTGTTTGATCTGATGCTGATTCAATTCCCTTGAACTGAGTTGATTCTGTGCAGATTTACACACATAAAGATTAAAGCAGAGATGTTGATAAGAGAAGAACAAAGATGCAAATTCTGGGAAGAGAGGTTCTCAGGAATGGACTTCTGGTAGACCAGTGGTCAAATCAAACCTGCTAGATTTATAGAGAAAGTAAAAGGTCTTGGGTAATGGGAACTCCTGTACTTACACTAAGCTATGCCAGTTTACAACAGGTGCAAATTGGTCTGGTGATTCCAGCAGCAAAAATAAGCTGGAGAGAGAAGAGAGGAGGTGATGGGTGTGTAGGTTTGTCAGTAAGCATTCCCACCCATTCAGTATACACTGATTATTCATTAAAGTTTGAGATAAGTACACTCAAATATATAAGCATGCTTATTTAGTATCCTTCTAATTGTAGCAGTGGGAAATATTACACATTAACAAAAATAAATCCTCTGTGTCAAAGTTTTATAGGAAGTCCTGGCTGCAGTGCATTAAAGGAATGACCAGGAGCCCAAACTGGAGCAGACAACAGGAGCATGTGACTAATAAACAACATGCCAGTACAATGAAGACTGAAATCTCTTGGTATTGGACTGTATTTGGGAGAAATTGATAGTGAGGGGATGAAGGACACTGACTAATCAGCTGATCTGCCACAGTATATGTAATTGTGTCAAGTACTAAAGTAAATGCCCATGACATGAGGTTCTAAAGGTTATTGATAATGTTGCATTCACTGGCTGTGCTGCTCCATGTTTACAAGGCTGATTATGGAACAGAGGTTGTCGCTTTTAAGCCCCTGGTTTCTTCTGAAAATGTAAAATCACTTGGACGCCTCACCCACACTGTTTTGTCCAAGTTACTTGAGTTGAGTTCCGGACATGGAGATAAAGGTGCTCTTTCCTTCATGGGTGGTACAGACAACATTTCTACCCACTGCAGTGTGAGGCACACATCCCAGAGGAGACTGTGCTTGGATGTCATGGAAATATCTTAATTATTTGTGTTTGCTGCTTTTGATAATTGCTGATTACTGCTGTGTGGGATTCAGGCAAACACTGGAAAATTATATTCATCATAGCCTGAGGAGATAGTGGAAACATCACTGTGAGTTGATGGCAGTGTGAAACAGATGCTGCCACCATTAAAATCCAGGCATAAATCACTCATATCTTCATTTTCATCAATCACTGTCTATGAAAGAGAATATGGACAAAATTATAGGCTGGGAGTTTCATCCTCATCTGGGACCAGCAGTGTCTGCAGAATCAGGACCAAAAAAGGATGCTTAGATTGTTTTGGTTTAGGGAATTTTTTGACCTGAAATCTAATTTCCAGAGGACCAGAAGGAGGGGTGTGTGTTTTTGTCCAGGTGCAGAAGTTTTGGTGTGAATGTAGGAGTAAGAGAAGGGGTCAGGAGTCACATAAAGCAGGTGTGTCACAGAACTTCCCTGCTTATCAGACAGAAGAGATATGAAACTTTGACCTAAAGGATATTCCATCAATACTCTGGAAATATGGATGTTTTCACAAACCAGCCGCTGAAGTAGAAGAGTGAGGAGCTTTCACTTTCCTCGGTTTACTTACTTTCAACAATATAAAAATCTCAGCTAGAGAAAACTAGCTGGAAAGATCTTTTGAAACAAGCAAAAACATGATTTGCAGTAGAGGCTTTCTCTTTTCTCCAGAAATTTTCAGCAACATACCCAAGAGTTCTCTTCTTGGCAGAAGAAAACCTTTGGCTGCCCAAAAAGAAAAAAGAAATCCCCAAACAAAAAACTATTTTGACTTCTAGTCAAAAATACATTTTTTTTTTCTTGAGGGTGAAAGGGAGCTGAAAAAAATGTTCACACATTTAGCAGGCTTCATTATAGTGAGCTCCCTGATTTATTGAAGTCATTATGAAGGGGATAGGGTAGATCTGCTGAAACACAGGCACAGCTTCTCCAGAGGGTACCACCTCCCACAGTTCCAGTTCAGCTACATCTTGCTCTGCTTGCTATGGGGGAGGGAGCAGATCTTGTAATGTAGAGAGAATAGAACTTACTGGAGGGTCAGAAATCCCAAAGGCTTTAGAGACTCTCTGAACATCAGCATTTTATGGACAAGCTAACTCAACTTCTGTTCCATCTTTTGGCTGAAAAACACTTTGATGGATAATTTTTGGTCAGACTAAATGATTAATATTTTGATCTTTTTCAGGGTTTACGTGGCTTGAAGCCATAAGTTTCTTGTAATGGAAATCCCATCAGCTTAGTGATTAGACCTAAAGAAATTCAGCGCTCCATGAACTCCCATTTGCCCATTCATTTAAAAGTAACTCTTGATTAATACATCTAAAAGATACATATCCAGTCCTTTGAGCATGGAACCTTGCAGTTCCCAGTAGTCCTGGTTTTATATGAGATGCAAAAATCCCCAGCAATCTCTCTTGCCATTCAAACATCTTCAGAAAGTGTTTAATCATTGGAAAGTGTGGCATCCTGCGTTTTCCCCAGTGTCTTTTTACTGTGACTTTTCCCTGTAGTGACAGTTAATTCCCCACTCTGCTCTTTGGTTCTTCAAGGTGCATGGCAGATGTCTGTCACTTCCCTCAGCTTTTTTACCAGGACTTGATGTAACATTTTGTATGAGAGAGACTGGGCAGATCTCTGAAAGCAAAAGGGGGAGTAAAATTAGGGCAGAAATAACTTCTTCATAAATAGAACCCTTGAGGTCTTTTTGTCACACTTGAATGGAATTGTTCCAGGTTCCTTCTCTGCTTTCAGTGGAGATGATCCCAGAAATCAATGCAATAATTTGAGGTATCTGTGCAGCATGTCTACATAGCCCCAGCTGGAGAATCCATACTGTGTGCTATTTAAGGCACTATGTAGACATGGACTTATGTCTGCAGAGAAGCTGTGTCTTAAATTAGTTCATTGACTTCTGGGCACTTCATTTCTGATGTGGCTGTAAAACTACTTTCATAGCTCACTGGTTAAGTGAATCTCTCTGCCGACTCACGTTTCCCTGTGTAGACAAACCCTGCAAAGGATACAGGCAGCTTGGCCATATCAGGCAACAGAATTTACCCAGTTTTTCATTGCCTAAATATGCCAAATTGTTTTGAAATCCGTGGGTCTCCTTTAGCCTTGATGTACTCAGTGAAGAATCCTTTGAAATCCAGGTATTTATACTGATGGAATTAAGAAGCTCTTATCACCTCCAAGGTGGTGTTAGTGCTCTCTGATGCCATGTGGCCCATTGCTACTGTTCATTTTTGCAATTATGTTTGGATTTCAATCCACTTATTATGTCCAAATTATATTTCAAGCCTAATTTTTTGCTTCTGTTAAGTGCTTTGCTGAGAATCGCCTACACTGCGTCTCCTGCCTCCTTATGCCCATTCATTTTGTTCTTCATGTCAGAATGTATAATCAAATCTTTCTAACATGGATTTTGAGGTTTGGGGCTTTTTTTCCTCTGAAGTAAAACAGTGCTATAAGTACCACTGCATTATCTCAGAGGTAGATTCTCTTGTGGTCCTTCTGGGTTCAAAGGGAGCTGCACAGTGTGACCAAGGGCAGTTGTATCCTCATACTTTGCAGGTTTCCTTTGATTGTTGTCTTCCATTGAGAACGTAGAGGCAGGACTTGCCCAGCTTGCTTCTTTCATATTTGAAAGAGCTGGTATTGCACTTGATGCTCAGATCTCCTAACCTTTTTGCACAGTCTCTCTGTGCATTCAGAATAATGCTGTAGGTGTCTGACAGCTCCATGGGCCTTCTGTGATGCAGGCAGGCCTGAAATAGAATCACAAATTTGTGTTGGTGTGAGGCAGCCAAATGGTCCTTGATAGATTTGGGGACCCTGGAAACTCTGGAAAATAGTCATCTCCTGTAAACATCCTGTTCTGCAGTGCCTCGCTGAAAATGCTGCACTTGGATGCTATTTCATAAAATCACACGGCTGCACAGTCACAAATCCGTGAAATTCCATCCCTGAAAATGTCTTGGTAGTGCTAAACTTGGAATCAAATTAGGTCATATTTAACAGGAGCTTTCCAGCTGTATGTCCCATATAAACCTTTGAAAATGTAAGGGCAAGGTGGTGTGTGTTGGTGTGGGAGTTTGATGGATAAGGATGGGAGCTGCCTGAAAGAGAAATAATATTGATATGAAGAAAAATCCCCAGTGAGATTACGGAGGTTCAGGTTGGACATCAGGGAAAAAAAAAAAAAAGTCACTGTGTGGGTAGTCTAGCACTGGAATGAGTCATCTGGAGAGGTATTGGAAATTCTAGCCTTTGAAATTCCCAAGATTAGGCTAGAAGAAGCTGCAGGTACCTGATCTAGCGTTGATAATGAAGTTCCTCTAAGCAGAAGGTTGGTCTAGATGACCTCTTGTCATGGTTTAGCCTCAGTAGCCACAGGGCCACTCAGTCCCCCACAGTGGGTGGGGGAGAGAATTGGAGGGTAAAAGTGAGAAAACTCGTGGGCTGCAAGCAAAGCAAGGGATTCATTCACTGCTTCCCATGGGCAGGCAAGTGTTCAGCCACCTCCGGGAGAGCACGGCTCCGTCAGGCATTACAGTGACTTGGAAAACAAACATATTCACTCCAAACATCCCCACTTCCTCCTCCTCCTCCAGGCTTTTATTGCTGAGCACGGTGAGATCACAGAATCATGGAATCATAGAATATCCTGAGTTGGAAGGGATCCACCGGGATCATCAAAGTTTGACTCCTGGCCCTGCACAGGACAGCCAGTGTGATATGGTAGGAGATCACCCCAGTGTGATCAGCTGGGGTCATCTGTCCCAGCTGTGTCCCCTCCCAGCTCCCTGTGCACTGCCAGCCCCTCACTGGTGGGATGGGTGGGAGTCAGAAGAGGCCTTGGCTCTGTGCAAGGCCTGCTCAGCAAGAACTAAAACCTCCCTGTGTCATCAATTCTGTTCCCAGCACAAATTCAAAACATAGCACCATAGCAGCTACTGTGAAGATAATCAACCCAGCCAAATCTCACTCAGTTCCAGGTAACGTTTTTTGTGTTGGGAATAGGTGCTACATGAGTGAAAAGGCATGGGAGAGAGCAAGACATTGCAAGTTCTTCTGAGGCGTGGAGCTGCGTCTTGCAGCTCAGAAATCCTCTGCATGCCAGGAACAAAGCAAGCTCTGCAGATGATTTGCAGGGGAAAGATTACACTGTGGGGATCTGTCAGGGTTGGAGGGGCAGGTGAACACTGAGGGCTTCAGTGCTGTACATCATGTTCTTCTGGTGCAGAGAGGCTTGGGTTGTACAAACTACTTCAGCCTAAGGCTTTGCATTCTTTGTCTGTCAGCCCTCGGAATGTTTTGATGTGTTGAACATGGTGCAGGAATTTTACCTACCCACTTTCTGTGTCTTTGTTTACAATTTGTTGCTGCCTCCTGTGCTTGGTGTCATAATCCTGAGGGCACTAGTAGGACTTAATTAATCTGATTACTTGAGGCTTCCACAACACACCAGATATGCACTGACAGCTCACCTGAATCTCTAGCAGGGGGCACTTAGGCTCAGTCTGACTTGTGTTGAAGGTATGCTTG